AGATTCTGTAGTTTTTTCGTATTGTTCAGTTTCATAATTTTCTTCGTTCTCGTTACCAGATTCTGTAGTTTCTTCGTAATGTTTAGTTTCAGAATGTTCTACGTTTTCATTACTAGGTTCTGTAGTTTTTTCGTACTGTTCAGTTTTATAATTTTCTACGTTTCCTTTACCAGATTCTGTAGTTACTTTATAATTTTTGTTTGCACGTCGTTTTAATTTAGAAGGAATGAATTTCGTATCGTCATTAAAATTTCTGATCACTCTACATTTACAATCCTTCGAATTTGCTTCATCCTCATCGATCATTTCTTTTTCCAGTATCGTATCCAAGTTTTTTACCTTCCTCTTCGATCTTTTACTTTGTTTCGAATAGGTATAAGTTGGAATGTTCATTGGCACACCGATCGATTTGGAATAATGTAAAACATCAAGATCCGTCATCTTGTCTTCCTCGATAGTCGTAGTCTGGGCTCTTCTTCTTCTTCTTCTTCTTTCAGGCAACGTTAATTTAGTTTTACCTAGAGAAGCCACGAAAGAGTCTCCGAGTTTGGATCCTTGAGTCTTTACTCTAAAAGACTCTTCGAGGTTTTCTTGATTGCTTTTGCCTGCTGAAGAGTCTGAATAATAGTTCATTAGCATATTCACGGTATTTCCCTTGATTCGTCTCCCTTCACCGACACCTGAAGCAACGTTTGTGACGGGTTTTGTCTTGGCGTTGTCTTCTTTGTCATATTCTTGATTTACCCAGTGTTTTTGAATATTCTCACCTTGCCAGATGTTCGTATAATAATCATTAGAATTTTCTTTCATGCCAACATTTGCTATGCTCGCAGTTTCGAAAATTTCATTTGGCCTATAACCACGATAATCATTGTCAACGTTTATCCAAGTATTCTCAGGCTTGGTATGATCGATCGTTACAATTTTCCACCCTTTCTCTTTTACTTTTTCTCCCTTCGTATAATCGTAATCCTTGTTTTTTCTCGTATAGTCATCAATCTGTAAAAGAACGTCAACGTTCGGCAAATTTTTCATCGTATCTTCCCTGGAAAATCCATACAAATTATTCTCATTGTTTTCTCTTTCTTTCATTTTATTCGGCCCAGTCGACGATTGTTTCTTCCTTCTCCGATCGTATTTTTGATCGGTTTGAAAAAAATCAGAGAAAAATTTGTCGACATCTTTCTTCGATCTTCGAATTTTTTCCATCGTTTGCTGTTCCTTTGGCTTCCAGGTAGAATCGAAAGGATCGACGGATTCGCTCGTCGACCTTTTTCTCTCGATTCGTGCCAATTTTCTCGGAAAAACTTTTTCGAACTTCTCGTGCTCCTCTTGCATGTCGATTTTCTTCAATTTCCGTTCTTCAACTGAACGGTCTAGTTCCCTTTTCGCTAACCTCCGCCATTTCTTATTTTTATTACGCCTAATAGTTTTATCATAATCGATTAATCGTTTTTTTCGCAATATCCCATTTTCCTTTCTCAATGTTTTCACGATAACATTCTCCTTTTCAACTTTGCGATCCATACAGGAATTTATCTGCAATGATAAAAGATTATTTCGTATTTTATCCGTAAAGATACTTTTTTTTTTTTCTATGAATTACCTTTTGATCGGGAACGACCCAGAATCCAATTCCACCTGACGATAACTCGATACTCAAACCCTTTTCATTGTTATATATAACAGGTTCCAATAAGGGCAATTCACTATCTTTAAATAAACTCAATGGTTTTCCATTTAAAAGGACAGTTCTATTAAGCAAGAATACATAAATATATGTTATTTACATAAAAAGAGGTAGTAGAGTCGACCAAATTCATTTTACGATGAATATTAAGATATAATCATTGAATTTAATTAATTATTTACTATTCGCGTTGTGTATTCGGTTAATTGTATGCAATTAATTTAATCGATTAAATTTAATAGTAGATTAATTAAATGCGCAAATAAATGATACGACGTATAATTTAAGTAATCGAACGTGTGTGTGTGTTTTTTTTTATATGCTTTTCGATGAAATTTAACTTACTTCGCGTACATACGATTTTCCGTATCAAATCCTGGAGTTAAAACGTACTCGTGAAGGTTCTTTATTTCGAAACCCTTAACGTTAGCTCGTATTTTCATTGGATTTAGATTTATACCGAAGATCGTTAAGGCTCCTCTCTGATAAATAGCCGAAGCTTTCGTACATTGTACATAAAAGTGAACGTGGCTTCCGTTATCCGTTTGTATCCTTGTGTCTAAAATTTCTCTACCTACCAGTTTCTTGTGAAGTACAGATACCCAATAATCCTGTAAGAGGTTACTAACTTTACCACTGTAATAACGTCAATAGTAATCGCTTTTGTAAGTTCGCTAACAAAGCGATCGACTTACTGGAGTTGGTTTCGAGAGATCGACTGGTTGTCTCATTAGAACTTCTATTCCAAGTTTAGCGGTATTTCCTAGTCTGTTGGTCCAAGCAAGAGCACCGACAAATTGATTCTTCCTTGGCTCTGCTTTAGATTCGGCTATCGTCGTATGAATCAAAACAAAAAATCAGCTAGTTAATGCTAATTAATTATTACATTGGAATTCATTTGTTCTTTAATATTCGTCAAAAAATTTTGCTTTACCGATCCAAAGCGGCTTTTTCGCAACATCGTGTCCTAAAATCTCGTAGAGATTATTCATAAAATTATCCATAAAAACATCATCTTTGTTTTCAACAACATTAGTGAAATCTCTGTAAAAATATATGAAAAATTTGTATTTGACTTTTATTCTCTCTTATTAATCGAATTTCCAAACGATGATGTGCTTACGGATGCCACGTGACAGCCGTGAGGGATTCCTCGGCCTCGGTAAAAAATGTCTCCAGATATTCCCGTTGTTCTTCTGTTTGGTAATCGAGCACATCCGGTCCGGTGATGATGCTATTTGAATATCTCGGAATGGCATTCAATTTATCCCGCAAAATTTGAACGTACCTTCCAACGTCGGTACCACTAAAGTTGCATCTCGTCTGGCACTCTGAAAAAGACAATTCCTCGGTTGACAAATTGCCAGCTCGAGAAATTATCGATCAATGTTCTACTCTCTTACTTACCATATCCCAATTGCCAGCTAGCATTGAAACCCATTCGATCGGTCAAAGAAACGAGATCCATTTGGCTATCATTTCCCATTAATCTTGGTGATATACAGGCAACCACATCGAGCCCGGTCTTTTCGGCCCATTGATTGAGTCGTCTCCAATTATTTTCTACATTTTATGTTTTTTTTTTTTTTTTTTTTTTTTAAATCAAATTTATCCCCGTTAATTAAGCGAGACCAAACAACGCATATCATTATTAATTTTTCCTTTCCTTTTCCTTTTTTTTCGTTTCTCAATTTGAAATTTGTCAAAATTCAACTCGACGAGCAATAGAGAGAAGAGAATTGTGGATTTTTGGTGATAAGTGTGAGTTGTTCGAGCATGCAGGTTCTATCGGTGGCACCCTCGATCACGTCAGTGCGGATGATAGACGCTTGACTAACGAGTGATCGCCAAAGACTAATGACCGTTCCACGCATGTCCAACGAATTCATTGATAAGTCACGTACGTCAGATACGAATATTTCATTTATCTTCTTCCTGTACGAAAAGATACTATTTTCCTTTTCCCGGCCCCTACCGCCCTTCTCATTATTTTTAGAAAAGTGCAAATGTTCGTACTCCGATGCTGAGTTAACTCTTTATTCGTTACTCTTCTAATTAAAAGAACTTTCCAACTTTGGCTTGCTAATAGACTTCGTAATTTATTGTCTCGACAAAATTCTATCGAGTTTTTTTTATTTTTTACCAATCTCTCTCTAGAATAAATACTCGGAAATTTCTTTCAAATGAATTATTTGCAATACGAGTGCGTGAAAAGGTAGTCGTCGTCGTCGTACGTTTTGTTTCTCATTTCGATTCCCTACTGCTCGAATGAAATTTTCGACCATAATTCTACCCACGTTTAGGTTCCCCGAACTCTTGTTTGCTTATCCGAAAGTTAAATAGTTATCAGTTCGAGTTGGCGAGGCAAATTTTAGGGTCTGATTACTGTAACTAGGTCTACTGTTTAAACTTGAATACTGGTTACGTTTAATAATACGTCGATTTTATTCCGCACCGTGATCTAACCGTTCTAATTTCAAGCTAAAGAAAGCTCAGTTTTTTTTTTCTTCTGTTTTGAGAAGAAAGTATACCCGGAAGTGCAATGATTCAGCATCGTTTGCAATGGAGTCTTGACAATTAAGAGTTATCCCCTAGCGATCGTGAGATTAGAGCGAGAGTTAAGTCGGGTTGGATGGAAACGGTTACGAGCGGAGATATAGTCGAGTCTAGGTAGCTTTCTGTTCTATCTTAAATCCCAAATCGTTCTGCGGATTCACATCCGCAATAATGGAAGATTGAATGACGAAGAAGTATATCTATTCACTTTGATTTCCGTTGTAAGTGAAATGTTTCAAATTAGTTTTTATGAAGTCCCAATTATAGGCTTCATAAAAGCCTACTTTTAGGAGTTAACAAGAAACACATTTTCTATATACTTTACTGATCAATACGCGATATTTGTAAGTAACTTTATTTATCGCTTTGCATTCGAGAACTTTTTCTTCATTTCTTACAGTTATCTTGAAATAATATTGTATCGTTGTTTTGTGTGGTATTTTCTAATGCTTATAACATTTCTTTTATAAATTTGATTTTACTTAATCGTACAAACTAACGTTATAAGGATAGAATATTTCAATATTAAGCACCGTGTATTACATTTCAAGATCGTTATAGGAGGTGTTCTTGGTAAATATAATGAAAAATAGTATGATCGAATTTATATTGCTAACGAGAGAATAGTAAAACAGAAGAGAAAGAGCTTAGTAAGTACGGATGGTGATGGTGGTGGTGATGGTGGTGGTGATGGTGGTGGTATCGAGTATACGTTGAGCGAGTTTCTCTTCTCGTGAATATAATTAGAATAGACAGGCACGGTGTGTTGGAATCAAAGGAAAATCCACCTTTAATTCTCTTTCTCTCTCCCTATTTCCCTTTCTCTTTTGAGTAACGTATTCGATTCTCGGGATGAAAAGTACGGAAAGCTCGTAGCTTCCTCTTCGTCATAGAATGCACATTCATGTTCGTGTTTATCGCTTTTCTGAGTCTACGTATGGAAGCATCGTGCATTGTTTAGTCGGTGAATCAACCTGTAACGGCACATCGCACGCGAAATTGCCCGAGGAAAATACATAAACGATCGAGGATTAACCCTTTGCACTCGAGGCCTTTCACGCTTGCGCGAACCAACAACTCGAGACGATTTCGCGGCTAAATTATGGGAAAAATTTTACAAATACTTTCAAGTCATTTATAAACAAACAAACAAACAAACCTATACGAATAATCAAATTTCACCAATTTATTTATTTTTATATCGAAAACAAGAACATTTGATAAACGTTAAACTCTGTAATTTGTTTTCGCGTGATATTTCGGCGCTCGAGTGCAAAGGGTTAAACTGTCGATAAATTTCGAGTTAATTCCCGAGATTGTATATACTGATAAGTAATGCACATCATCTCGAAATGAGGGCGCGTAGGCGAATGTGCACCAGCGAAAGGCGCAGACGCAGACGCTTTATCGAAATGCGCACGCATTTTTCCCACCTTTCTGGGCCCTTTATCGCAGACGCGCCTTCTTTTATTCGGCTGGACGCCCACGGGGACGGATCTTGAGCAACAGGGAGTCGTGGAGAACCCCCATATATTTTCCCATACAGATGATGGCAAAGCAGGGGGAGGTGAGACACGCATCTAACCAACGGTTGAACACCATTCGTTATTGTATTTGATTTTAATATACAAAATTTTTTGCCGCAATGCTATTCTCTGGCGAGCCAATAAAATATTTATTATTTTAATGTAACTTTTATATATCTTTCTCATCACTAGTTTATATTACAATCACCATAGGATTTCATGTTGGAGGAAACTACGTACATTTCACATACTTTATAATTATAATTATTATTCAATATTAAAATAATAGAATATATAAATTAATTATTATTTGTATTTATTAATTGTAAAAAATATAACGTTAATAAAAAACCAGTAGTTATATCGGTTAGGATCTAAATAAGTATACCTAATATCGGGAGCAGCACGTTGAATGTGATAATTGCAACCGTTTACCGACCAACGTTTATCTTTCCGAATACACAGAGGAATGAGATTACAGAGAATCACAGAGGAAGAGAGAAAGAGAATATGGATATTAATATCCAATGTTTCACGTGATATTTTCAAATTAGAAATGACCATACATGCCACAATAATTGTATTTTATTTAATTAGTTATTTCTCTCGTCCAAAATTATAATTCTTAATACGGAATCACAGGGAACTTGGACATAAAAAGAAGTAGAACTTAATTTAACTAAGTTGGACGTTTATTGGGACTTCTTCAGCAACTTAATCTTACAGTTCAGCGTCTTTTTTTATTATGTAGACATACATTTTTATTTTTATTAATATTCCAAATAATGTCCTCAGAGGACATCTTACATTGAAGATATCTAGACTAATAAACACTAGTCTAGATTGAAACAGTGTTGTTGAGAGTTTCAAATAGTAACGATCGAATATTTAATGAAGTTTAGATGTTTTGTGTTTGGAATATTAATAAAAATAAACATGTATGTCTACATAATAAAAAAAGACGCTGAACTGTAAGATTAAGTTGCTGAAAAAGTCTCAATAAAGGGACGAAATGTCCAACTTAGTTAAATTAAGTTCTACTTCTTTTTATGTCCAAGTTCCCTGTGATTCCGTATTAAGAATTGTATTTTATATTTTTAATATTTACCTGAAAACACGTTGTCCGTGTTGTTGCGATCGTCGAGTAGATACGAGTTACTTTCAGGCCCACCAAGTCGAAGATAGGCGGGACTTAAGGCCTTAGCCATTAGAATACTTCTCTCGTAATTCCTACAAAATATATATCGTTCGAAGGATGCTATTTATATATTAAACAATTCCTACGGTCTCTCTGTCTCGAACAAATATAAAATCTACGTTAGTTATCTACCCCTCCCGCCTACCCCCCTCCCCACACCTTCTCCCGAATCGAGCCACGAAATTTCAATCGAAAACATACACATACGTTCGATTTCATTTTCGAATCCCCGATTCAAATTGAATCGCGTTCTCGTTTAAACTTCCACACGACGAGAGAGAGAGTGAGAGAGATAGAAAGAGAGATGCTCGCGTTTCATTCCAATTTCGTTGAGATTCTCTCGTTTCTCTGCGTAACCAACATCATCCCCAACGTTGATACGTCGTTATTGCATTTTATCGTTGACGTAAGTTCGAACGTTCTTCTATCTCTCTCTCTCTCTCTCTCTCTCTCTCTCTCTTCTCTATCTTCTTTCCAATCGAATTTTTTCGAATTTGTCAATTTCAATCGTCGCTAATATTATCCCGCCCTGTTTTTTTCCCATATTGGATTTATTAATTCGCGCATGTATCGTTTCGTTTTACGAATCGTAACTAAAAGTTTTTGTTTTTTTTTAAATGCTTTCATTATAATATGCTTTGTTATTTCCTATAAAATTTAGTTCAACGTTAACAAGATACATTGGTAGTAATCAGTCGACTAGCGTTTATATTTATTTTTTATTTTTGATCGTTAAATGTTTCACAATATATTAAACAAGTTATATCAAATGTATACTCACGCTGATACATCTTCGGATTTAAGTATAACTAGAGGATCGATAGCAAGGCTTAAAAATTTATCACTGCTCACTGAGATTAATATTTTCGTGTTCACCTGCAACGTTAATTCTTTCAACGAGGCTTCTTCTCCTGTCACCAAGAGTGCCAGGTAAAAAATTAAAAAACTGAATTCGAGTTTTTTCATTTTTCTCGTTAGCTTTTTCTTTCTTCTTCTTCTTCTTTAATATCGTTGCTACTAAGATGAGTTACATAACTGAGAGTAAGAGAGAGAAGAGAGAAAGAAAGAGAGAGAGAAAACGCGCGTATTTATTCAAAAAAATATTTCGATACGGGAAAGAACCGCGAGTAACAAGCTTTACGCTTCGTTAACTTCGTCAAACTCTTGACGATTTTTTTGTTTAATGAGGCTAAACCGCGAGGCATCGAGGAATAAATAAATAAATAAATAAAAAAAAAAAACAAAAAGAAGAGACGAGACATTCTTTTTATTTTGTTTTCTCTTTTTAATTTTTATTTTTTATTTTTAACGTCCGAGAAATTGCTTAGTCAGAACCAACGTGTAATTTCGCAAGGGCGCCCGCGTTGTTACTCGTTCGAATAATAATTACTCAACGAAATTGGAATTTCGATCGACTTTGGATATGATTAATCGATACCACGAGCGATATATTTGTGCATGCTCAGCGAGAACGACGTACGAAGGCCTCTCCTCTCTTTCGTCAGACACACAAATTCGCTCTCGAAATATAAATTCATTTGACTTTGTATTCCTAATATCTGTTTGCTCATATCCGAACGAAATTATTTGCAATTTTTTTCTTTTATTTTATTATATTATTATTTTTTTAATTCGTTTGATCGCACCAACCAGTTGAGAAATAATGAAATGGAATTCGTAGGAGAAATTTAGTGTTTTTACGATTTATTCGTTTATTTCTTTTTTTTTCGGTTACATACATAAATATATTTTTTCGAAAAAAAATACTTATTAAACGAAATATATAATTTTTTATCTAAAACACATTATAATTAATTAATTTAATAGGGATGGGAGAGAATAAACAAGCGAGACACTATTCATTTGGTAACATGATTGATTTTTATTACATTTTTTTTGTTCTCATTCTCAGTGGTTAGAACTAAATAACATAAACGCATAATCTTGCTTAATGATTTACTTCATTTTTTTTTTTATTTGTTTTTATTTTTTTTTTTTAATTTTCTTTTAATTTCACTTTTCCCTTTAATTATTAGTCGTAATAATATCGCTATCTTATCATTTTTTTCTTAATTTTAATATTCTTTTTATTATTAAGAACTATAACGGCGAGGCGCACCCCGAACTTGTGTTCATCGTATTTTTTTTTCTCACCCTTCCCCCTTCTTCCCTCTCCTTGCTGCTTTCTTTCTTTCTTTTTTTTTTTTTTTTATTTTTGTTCATTTTTTTACCCACCACTCGTATTATTATCTTCGTATCGTCATCCCTCTCGTGGATGTGAAAAATAATAATAATAATAATAAAAAAAAAAATAGAAAAAAAAAAGCAAAAACAATAACGGGGCATCGAGTCTTTTTTTTTTCGTTTTACAATGTAAGATAGGGGGAAAGCTCGGTTTTATTTTTGTTTGTTTTTGTTCATTTTGTTCTAGTTACTTTCCTATTTCTCCTCGTGTCCCTACCTTTTTCTCTCTCTCTCTCTCTCTCTCTCTCTCTCTCTCTCTTCCTATTTCTCACGTTTTCGCAATATCGCACCATTTTCTTCCTCCTTTTTTTTTTCTTTCTTTCTTTTCCTCGCTTTTGTTCTTTCCAACCCTCTAACGTTTACGTCCTTCGTTTACGGTTCTTTAAATTCCGATCCGACTTCTTGAAACTACGGAAAGTCGTAACGGGTGCTGCGCTCCTCCTTTTCGACTCTTAAAACGCGATTCTACGCGAGAGTTGAAACCTTTTTACTATCTCCTCCTATCCCTCCCCCTCCCCCTTTCCCCCTCCTCCTCCTCCTCGAGGTCTATTTTCCCTTTGTTCTATTTTTCCTCTATTCTATTTAAGTAGAACGGAAGTATAGAAAGAAATCCGACATCGAGTAGGAGAAGAGAGAACAAATATTCTGCTTCGAGACTCGCACAATCTAAAAATTTTCCGATATTTTTTCGTATTTTTTGTTGTTGTTGTTGTTGTTGTCCCCTCTATCTTTTTCCTTTATCTTTCGTATTCGCGTTTCTACGTCGTTTTAAGGGTCAAAGGAGTAACGAATGGCAGAAAAGTAGGTCTCTTTGCATTTTGAACGTTTCGAAAAACGAACCGATGTGTGTTACACGTTCGGCGAATGTGTTTACCCAATCTTTCATCTTTATTTTCTTTTTTTTTCTTTTTATTTTTTTTTTTTCATCCTTCTAATGATCACGAGCACGCACACCATCATCCCTTTCTTTCTCTCTCTTACGTAACGACAGAGTTACAAAAAAATTCCGTTTTGAGTTTCGTGTGAATTTCTTTTTTTTTTTTTCTTTACTTTTCGTCGGGTCGTCTGCCTGTTCGTATCTTTTTTATATTTTTATTTTTATTCTTTTTTTAGTTTTTATATATATAGTTTCATGTACGTAATTACACGTACATATACATATATACAGATTCGTAATTACTATCGTTGAGTGTAAATGCATTTATGCATGTATATCATTTCTATGTACGTATGTGTATATACACGTACGTACGTACACGTAACGCTATATCGTTTTTTATAGTGGGGAAACGAATGATCGTTTTTTTTTATTTTTAAATGTTGGTTGTTTGGTTATTTTTCTTTTTTTTTTTTTCGTAAGAACATGTAATATACATGTACATATGTATATATATATTATATATATATATATATGTATTCATGTAGGAACGGCGTCTTGAATTCGCGTCGTGTGTTTTTTTGTTTAGTGCGCATAAGTGTGTAATTATACATACGTGTAAATGAGTCGCGCTTGCTTAACGTCTAAAATTATTATTTCAATTTTTATATCAATATATATATATATATATATATATATAATATTATCATCATCATCCCCCCTCATCCTATTTTCCCCCCACCCCCAAACCTTTCTTTCTTCGCTTCCTCTACTCTCTCCCTTTTCTTTTTTTTTCATTTTCAATTCGCATATTCTTTTTCATGTATTCATGTATATATATATGTACGCGTTATTCCTTAAATGTTATACAATATATTATAATTATGTTCAACAAAAAACTCGTTTTTTGCATGATTTCCAGTACCAATAATAATTATTCAATTGTTTGCTTCTTATTATTTGTTTAGCCACTACGCTCGCTACTTTATTTATACAAGGGAATGTTACTTTTTTYTTTTTTTTTTTTTTTCTTTTTTTTTTTTCTCACGTCAACGCTCTACGCCCTCTTTTCGTTTCCTCTATTTTTTTTTTCTTCTTTTTATTACTTTTTTTTCCCACCCTTCCCGTATATAACCTTCAGTCTCGTGTTAAACTCTCCTCGTTACTCGCGTCTCAGAACTCACCCCTGACCCCCTCGTTCCTCGGTCATTATTTCTATTTCTTTCTTTCTTTCTTTCTTTTTTTCTATCATCCTTGTCGCGCTCGCGAATAAAATTCCGTTCGTATTTTTTCACGTTGTCCTTGTTCGCGCGAGCAAAGAATTCGTGCGATTTTTAAAGCACGGCAAAATGTCGGAAAGTTCAACAATGACGTTTGGAAAATTAATCCGAAATATTATCTAATTAGAGAAACGCACACAGCATCGAACACTTTTTTTTTACCAAAGACGACAAATTCGTTCGTTCGTTCGTTTTGGACAGTCGATTTAGTGGAACGTGAAGAAAAAATAAAATACAATATAAAAAAAAAAGAAGAAAGAAGACAGAAAAAAAAACTGTGCTACCGTGCACAAATTTGTTCCTTTCCACCGAAAGCATTTTTCCAATCTCGCATTTGTTATTATTGTTATTATTATTTTTTTTTTATGTTTTTTTTTTGTTCTTTTTCTTTTTTCTAAGCACAGCGCATATACACGTACGAATTAAAGGGACTTTCATCGTGTTTTTTCTTTTTTTTTGCCGCCATTGTTCACTATTATTATTCTCATAATCAGCACGAGGCACGCGCGTCACTGATTTTTACGTGTTCCTTGGTCTTTTGTCGCACACATTTTTATATGTAAATAATACACTCCTCCGTTTTCATCATCGTCTTTCGCGTCAGTGTATAGTTTTATTTTCTCTTATTTTTCTCGTGTGTCGTGTCGTGTTGTGTCGTTATTATTATTATTATTTATCATTATTATTATTATTATTATTATTATTATTATTATTTATTATTATTATTAATATTATTATTATTAATATTAATATATATTAATATCATTTTTTGTCTCTTCTTTTTGGGTTAAAGATTAGATGCGTGGAGAGAACACCGAAAATATTTTGTATAATCGTATATAATTCTTTGTGTGCGCGCGTGTGCGTGTCGTGTTGTGTATGCAAAGTAAATACGTGTGTATCGTTGTGTGCTGCACGTCTCCTGATTTTTTTTTTGTCCAATTTTCTTGTTCCTTTTTTTTTCTTTTTTAATCGATGTATGCTCTCATATTTATTATTTATTCGTAATACGCGTATATATATATATATCAGATATTAAATTTTACATTGTGTATTATAGAATTTATTTACGCAATGTGTCGTGTCGTGTCGTGTCGTGCTTCGTTCACTGGTTGTTGGTTGTTGGTTAATCGCATTTTTTTTGCTTTTAAAAGGCTCCATATAATAACATTTATTATTATTACAGGCATTCGTAATATTGCTTCTTGGTTTAAACTAATTTCGAAATGCGTTCGTCTTTTATCGCTCGCTGGCTCGTTCGTTCGATGCGTTCGAACTATTTTTTTTTCCTTTTTTTTATATTTTAAAAGGTAGTCTCGTTTTCGTTAAAGGGGAAGATACATTGATTCGATACGCGTTTTAATAATATACATTTTGACAAATACATAATTCGTTTGAACTATTACAATACGTGTGAGTAATACATGTCATAAATGTGATTGTGTGGTCGCGTGTGTGTTTATATGTGTTGTTTCTGGTGTTTATTTAACGAATGATTTTCAAAGAGCGAGCGATTGCTTCGATTAACTTTCATTCTCGACCGCCCTACTCCCTCCCCCGACATTCCCCGTTTTATTTCAAATTCAAAACACATAAAAGCGGCCTATCTCGGATTCTATCGGTTCGTATAAAAAATGTCGCCCCAAAAAATCGCACAAGTCCGCTCGTAGGTGGTAAGCACACACGCTATAACAGAATGTTCTTATCGAAAGTGGCAGTCAAAAAAACAATGTCATTTATTTGTTTTTTTATCTTCTTCATCTTCTTTTCCCTTCTCGTTTAGATCTTTTTTCCCCTCTCCCCGCGCTTACTT